GAAGGTTGACTCCTGGCCAAAATTGTCTTCAGTTCAGTTCATTGCTCTGTTGTGTTCAACTCTTTTTGACCCCATGGACTGCAGCATGCCAGGCCTCCCTGTCCATCACCAACTCCTGGAGCTTACTCAAACTCATGTCCATTGAGTCAGTTATGACATCCAACCATCTCATCCTCTGTCTTCCCCTTCTCCTCCCACCTTCAATCTTTCCCAGCATCAGGTTCTTTTCCAATGAGTCACCTCTTCGCATCAGGTTGCCAAAGTATTGGAGCTTCAACTTCAGCACAGTCCTTCCAATGAATATTCAGGACTTATTTCCTTTAGGATTAACTGGTTTGATCTCCTTGCAGTCCAAGGGATTCTCAAGAATCTTCTCCAACAACCAGTTCAAAAGCATCAATTCTTCAGTGCTCAGCTCTCTTTATGGTCCAACTCTCACATCCATACATGACTACTGGAAAAACCATATCTTTGACTATACTGACCTTTGTCAGTAAAGTAATGTCTCTGCTTTTTAATATGCTGTCTAGGCTTGTCATGGCTCTTATTCCAAGGAGTAAGACTCTTTTAATTTCATGGCTATAGTCACCATCTACAGTGATTCTGGAGCCCAAGAAAATAAAGTCTGTCACTGTTTCCAGCTGGGAGAAATATCAATAACCTCAGATATGCAGATGACACCACCCTTATGGCAGAAAGTGAAAACAAACTAAAAAGCCTCTTGATAAAAGTGAAAGAGGAGAGTGAAAAAGTTGGCTTAAAGCTTAACATTCAGAAAACTAAGATCATGGCATCTGGTCCCATCACCTCATGGGAAATAGATGGGGAGACAGTGGAAACAGTGTCAGACTNGCCAGCTTTTTCACTCTCCTCTTCCACTTTCATCAAGAGGCTCTTAAATAGAATTTCCTTATATAAGACAAATCAGACCCCTTTATATGCCAAAAGGTAAATTTCACATTAGGGCATTTAACATAAATGTAACATCAACACTCATAAAGCAAAGGCAAGACATAAGGGGAGAAAAAGTGAAAATATATTGGTGATAAAGATATCACTTTTCAGGTTATGATAGATTATATAGAAAACTAGGTAAAGATAGATTCTCTTAAGTAAATTGAATTAATATATATGTAGTTCAACTGTATCCTGCAACAAAATATAGCCAATGTTATATAGTAACTGTAAACGGAGAATAATCTTCAAAAATTGTGAATCATCATGTTGTACATCTAAAATTTGTATAACATTGTTAATAAAATATACCTCAATAAAAATATTAATTTCCAAGAAAAAAATGATAGAGAAATTTCTCTGATCACAAAAATTTTTTTAATTAATAGCAGATTTAGAAAACACAAAATTCCTGTCAGCTATATATTGTAAAATTTGCTTTTCAACAAATTATTTGATTAAAGAAGAAATTAAATATAAAATTTCTACCTGAAAAAAAGATAATGAGACAATCATCTATTATAACTTATCAGACATAGTTAAAATAGTCCTTGGAAGAAAATTTATAACTCTACTTCAATAAAATAAATTAATTTAAAAAAGCTTTCAAGGAAAAAAAGCTGAACCCAGACTATAAACCAGAGCCTATGCAGTTTCTCTTTTCCTAGGCTGTCAACCATCAACAACAATGCTGACTTTTTCTTATACAATTATTCTTTGTGCTTACTACTCAATTTTCATATTAACCACTTTTCACATCAATTAAGGAATGTAATTAGTTGATAAAGTAATGAAGCAGTTGATTGAGAAATAAAACATAATTAGAATACATTTTAATCTAAAAGCCACCTTTAGTGGGCAAATACTATGAGACTCCCATTAAAATTGCACATTAATATGACTATTATTTAACAATAATAATGTTAGAGGCATTAGCCAATGGGATTAAACAAAAGAAAATCTTGAAAATTGTACAAACTGGCAAAGAAGATCTAAATGTATGATAGTCCTAGTTGATTTGGCATTTTAGGTTATATACCTGGGACTTCCAAGAGAAGCACTGGATGATGGTTATAACCAGTGAGATAACTCAGTAATGTGGCTCCTAGGGAATCCATAACTTTCATGTACTGAAATGTCCCTGAAGTGTTGTCACATGGAAAAAAAAAAAAAGATTCAGAACATTGTGTATAGATTGTTTCTTTTTAATAACTGTATCTTATAGTCTGTATATGTGAAGTGAAATGTATATTTGTATTTGCTTTATATTTAAAATAAACATGAGGTAAAAAAACAGAAACTAATAAGCCATTCTGACGGGTGTGAGGTGATATCTCATTGTAGATTTGATTTGCATTTCTCCAATAATGAGCAGTGTTGAGCATTTTTATGTGTTTGTTAGCCATCTGTATGTCTTCTTTGGAGAAGTGTCTGTTTAGGTCTTTTAACCACATTTTGACTGGGTTGTTTGTTTTTCTGGTATTTAGTTGTATGAACTGCTTGTATATTTTGGAAATTAATCCTTTGTCAGTTGTTTCATTTGCTATTATTTTTCCCCACTCTGAGGGTTGTCTTTTTACCTGCTTATAGTTTCCTTTGCTGTGCAAAAGCTTTTAAATTTAATCAAGTCCTACTTGTTTACTTTTTTTTAAAATTTCTGTTACTCTAGTAGATGGGTCATAGATTAATGTCATTGAGTGTTCTGCCTCTAAGATTTTTATAATTTCTGGTCTTACAGTTATGTCTTTAATCCATTTTGAGTTTATCTTTGTGTATGGTGTTAGGAAGTGTTCTAATTTCATTCTTTTACATGTAGCTGTTCAGTTTTCCCAGCACTGTTTATTGAAGAGACTGTCTTTGCCCCATTGTATGTTCTTGCCTCCTTTGTCAGAAATAAGATACCCATATGTGCATGGGTTTATTTCTGGGTTNTTACTTCTTCTTTTCTAATCTGGATTCCTTTTATTTCTTTTTCTTCTCTGATTGCTGTAGCTAGGACTTCCAGAACTATGTTGAATAATAGTGGGGAAAGTGGACACCCTTGTCTTGTTCCTGATTTTAGGGTGAATACTTTCAGTTTTCCACCATTGAGAATAATGTTTGCTGTAGGCTTATTGTATATGGCCTTTACTATGTTGAGGTAGGTTCCTTCCATGCTCATTTTTTGAAGAGTTTTAATCATAAATAGGTGCTGAATTTTGTCAAAGGCTTTTTCTGTATGAATTGAGATGATCATATGGTTTTTATCTTTCAATTTGTTAATATGGTGTATCACATGGATTAATTTGCATATATTGAAGAATCCTTGCATCCCTGGAATAAACCCAACTTGATTATGCTGTATGAGCTTTTTGGTGTGTTGCAGAATTCTGTTTGCTAAAATTTTGTTGAGGATTTTGCCTCTATGTTCATCAGTGATATTGTCCTGTAGTTTTCTTTTTTTGTGTTGTCTTTGTCTGGTTTTGGTATCAGGGTGATTAACTTGCTTAAATATTCTTAAAGTATATTTTGAAGTAAGTTTTCAAAGTAAGTTTGATCCCACTGCAGGAGGCATCTTCTGATACAGCAAACAGATTCAGCATAAATTTTAGAAAACCAATTAGTGACTTAATCAATCATGATTTTGACAAAATCACTTTGGCTAACAGAAAATAATATTAATTGCATAGTTTTAAAAGCTAAATTTTCCTGTTTAGCTGAATGTCATTTTGAGTAATGTGCATTATTTTGTACTAAATTTCCATTTCACATAGCCAAATACATTCATTATTGCTAATGGAACAGAAAAATAATGAAATAATTGAATGCATTCTTGACCTCTTGGAATATATCATATTCTTTTGAAAATTTAGTCATTACTGCATTGAACATCTGTTCCATTAGGCATTATGCTTGATGCTGAGGTTACAAAAGTGAATAAAACAGATTTCATTTTATAAGGTTTATGCCCTAAGGGATTTTATTGTAGGATAATCACTGTCAATTTATTATCTTACAGTAAAAATTTCAGGAATATAAGAGGTGCTTAAAAGAGATCTGCAAAATAGTAACCCTTTTCTTTTATGATAAAAATGTATATAGGTCCTTCTTTTGAGTTTTCTTTGTCAGTTTGAGGCTTCCCCCCATGGTGGTTTTCTTGCTCCTTTCACATAATTGAAAGGTCTCACCTACTAGTTCTTACTTCCTTCAAGACTTCAACAGGCATCCCTTTCCAGGGGTGGAAAGACCCTCTCTGTTTACAACCTCATTGCCTCTCTCCTCTACAGTTGAGCCCCTCTGTTTGATCTCCAGTTTCTCCCCAAAATAACACACTTCCTGGAATGAACATCTTCGTTCATTCTTTCTAGACTCACCTCTCTCTGATTTCTTCCTCATACTCAGCCCAACCCAGAAACTCATGGCACTATGGCTTATATCATGAGTTGATATACTCTATGATGCCCTCCCATTTTCTCCCCCGAGTTTTTTCCAGACCAAATCACAAGTACTTTTAAGTTAATTTCCACTCTTACCTCTTCATTAGAGACTTTAGTCCCATCTTCCCACCTTTGGGATGAGTTCTGTCCTTAAACAAATGTGGTCCCATGAGGAGTCACTGCAGATACCAGTTCAGTTCTGCAGGAGGGGCTAGAGGTGGGCAACCTACAGAAATTACTGGAAGAGACAGACAATGCACTGTAAAAGCAGGAGTCTTGTGAGGATCGAAAGTGTAAGGAGGGATTTACTTCCTGCTCGTAACATATTCTGATGCAATGTCCACAGTGTGTATGTGTGTTAGTCACTCAGTCTTGTCTGACTCTTTGTGACCCCATGGACTGTAGCTGGCCAGGCTCCTCTGTCCAAGGGATTTCCCAGGCAAAAATACTGGAATAGGTAGCCATTCCCTTCTCCAGTTGATCTTCCCAACCCAGGGATCCTGCATTTCAGGCAGATTCTTCACCATCTGAGCCACCAGGGAAGCCCAGCATCAGTAGTACATAGACTCAGTTTCCAGTAAGCATGACTTTTGCCCACTAACATCCTCTTTATGCCTTTCTTCTTCCCAGGATGTGCCTGTCCCTCCCAAGCCTGTTTCTCTCCATCCTTTATATCAGACTAGACTCCATCCTCCTGCTCAGTCCCTACTGCGACCACAGACCCTCCCGCATGCTGACTGTCTTACCCCTGGACCCTTCAGTCACTTGTCCTTCTCCCTGAGTGATGAACAGGAGAATTCTCACACCTTGTTTAGTCACAACGCATATAATAAGGTGAGAATGCCCCATGCTCTGAACTTCTTCATGTTTAACTTTTAAATGTGGAGGAAACATATATTACAAATATTGAAGTATATTAAGAATATTAAATATTTGTGGGAAGGCACATGTCTTTACAAAAAGATAATAATTGACCTTGGGAAAGTATGAAATATTTGTTTCCTTTCAGAGTCGTTTCCTGATTTGCATTGCTTATTGTTTAATGCTGTAATCCCAAAGTGGAAATCCCAAGACATGTTTCAAAGCCTTACAAGAGGCCATTATTAATTTATCTTCTAGTCTCAGTTCAAAGTTCTTAAAAACGTCTCAAAATGACAATGCCTTGATGAGGAAGCATTTATTATTGCAGTCAGTGTGCAATGGAATACTTACAATTTCTATAGATATCTGTAACACAATGTTGATATTTTATTTTAAAATGAATCTATTTGCCTCATAATGTATGGTGGTGAGACATGTAACAAATAATGAGGTGTTCAGTACCTAAAATATATTTTTAACAAAGCAAAAATTTTATAGTTGGCTTTGGAATGTAATCATGAATATTCTATTAGAAGCAAGCAGTCAGTAGCACAAAAGGCTTATATATAAGCATCCTTTGCTCTTCTGAGCATCACCATAAGAACATCCTGGCTAGTATAGGCTCTCAGATTTTGAAACTTTTCTAAAAGAATTGAGTAGTCAAAAATCAGTCATCAGTTAAATAATTTTTAAATTCAAAATCTTATCATAAAGCATTTGTTTTGCAAATTCTCTATATTTAATAAAATATATCTCTATACTTGGAAATCAATCAAAACCCTATGTTCCAGAGTGTATGCAGTTGACTAATATTTCTTGAACCCTTAAACATTAAAAAAAAAAAACAACTGTTCATCAATCCAAACACCAAAAAATCATCCAAAAAGTGAGCACAATTATGAGGAAAAATTTGCTTTTTATATTTAATAACATTTATCATGATTGAATGGTCAATCCTGAATTAAATTTTTAAAGTATTCATTTCTGGGACTCCCCTGGCAGTCCTGTGGTTGAGGATCTGAGCTTCCTCTGCAGGGAGAGCGAGTTCAATCTCTGGTTGGGTAACTAAGATCCTGCATGCCACGTGGCTAAAAAAATAAGAGAAAGATAAAAGAAAATTTATTGAACTAAACAAAAAATGAAAATACAACATATCAACTTTAAAAATTTATGGAAAAGTAACATTTTTAAAAAGTAATCATTTTCTGCAAACAAAGTGTTTTAGTGTCAAGTTCAGGATGGCATTTGTATGACCTTTGGTTGCTTCTAACTCTTGGTATAGAAAAAGTATTTCATGGATAGTATAATATTTTTAAATGATTTTATATTGCTTTAAATTCTCCCTATTTTAATACTAGCCAACATCTATGAAATTCATTTAGCTATTAGAGTTAATATTTTGATAATAACATACCATTTTCTTATAATGTCATTGATGAGCATGATAGGATTATAATTGTATTTTATAAATATCAAATTTCTCCAAATAGTTCTTCCTTTGGCATTTTGGTAGTGTTTTCTGGAGACATTCAGCAAAGATAAAGTCAGTATTTCATCCATGTTTTAGCCTTTTCTTGGTCTGCCTGTGAAGAAAAATATATCACAGCCATTTGAGGCTGGACAACTATTTTCATTTTATAAAAATCTCACAATAGATTTTGTCTTTCAATGTCTGAGATTTATTGATACTGAATAAAGAAATATTCACATCTGATAATAATAGTAATGTTAGCATTTCTTGATGGAATATTCAATTGCTTAGTCTGATATTTTAATTGCTCTTATTAAAATGTATGGATTATTCAACTTGACCTTTGTGTTTACTAAACTTGTAATGACCAACAGTGTACTAAATGAAATAACTTTTCCGGAATTGTAAAACATAGTCATTTAACTTAACTTCTCTTCAGTATCCTAACATCCTTCCCAGGCTTCACTTTCAGCCTTACCTGCTAGGCTTATCTCCAAACTCAAACCTCCCACCCTTCCCACCATTCCCCCAGAGATCCACACTGAACTTGACCTTACATAGCTATCTTTGGGGCTTCTTTATCAACCGGAGCTACAGAAAAATGTTTGGCAGATTTCATTCTTCTGTTGCATCTGTAGTGTGTGCTCCTTTTGCCCTAAATCTTTACACTAATCCCTGATCTCTTCTCCTACTTTCACAAGTTCATATGATGAACCTCATATGATATCCTATCACATATGATAATGTTCAGGCACTTTCCCTTTTACCTTGGTTATACCAGTATACCCTCTCTTTCCTCCACCTCATGAAGGGAGTCATTACTCTTACTGCCTTCTTTAACCCTTGTAACTAACATAGCCCAGTAGATGAGCGTGCAATGTCTTTAATCAGTCCGTCTGAGTTCATTTCTTGACACCATTCTTTCCAGATGGTGATATTGGGTACTTTATATAGCCTCCAAATGTCTTCATTTATTCATCTATAAAGTGCAGATAATAATAGTACCTACCTTTTTAGAATATGATAAGATGGGCCAGTGTGTGTAAAGGATTTAGAGTAGTGCTTGGGACATGAGGATCATGTGAGAGTTAGATCTTGTTACTAATTGTTGTTCAGTTGCTAAGTCATGTCTGACTCTCTGTGATCTGCAGACCGCGGCATGCCAGGCTTCCCTGTCCTTCCCCATCTCCTAGAGTTTGCTTAGATTCATGTCCATTGAATCAGTGATATTATCTAACCATCTCATCCTCTGCTGCCCTCTTCTCCTTTTGCCTTCAATCTTTCCCAGCATCAGGGTCTTTTCCAATGACTCGGCTCTTCCTGAATTGTCAGTCCCATTGCTTTCTTACATTTCCATTTGTTCTTTTTCCAATGGTCTCTTTTTTGAGTACAGAAACTTCAAAACACAAACTAAAAGGAATCCTTTTCCATCCTTTTCTTTCACAATGTTGCAAACCTAGTAATTTCAAGACATTCTTTCTCTCAAAGGGGTCAGTAGCCATTATTTTCATCCCCCTCTATGAATTCACTCTTAAATTTGTTCTTGAAAGCATTTTGTCTTTCACCTTTATCATTCTGCTGCGATTTCTCTCACAAGGGTAAACTGCTTGTCAGCAGACTCAGCTGAATTTAACCAAATCTTCTCTTCTATCCCTTGTCGCAATTGACACTGTTGATTATTCACTCTTAAACCTCCGACCTCACTCTGCTCTTGGGATAATATGTGCATTTCAACTCCCTTACTGTTCCTTTATCTTCTTGGTGGACATTTCTTCTTCCCCTCTTGTCTCTAACTGCCTCACTTGACACTCACCCACTCACAGGCTTCTGGGATGATCTTAGTTGTACTGATAGTCCTCAAATCCACATTTCCAATTCTGTTTTTCCTTTGAGATCCAGATTTATACCTTCAGCTGCTTACTTGTGATTTCCCCTAGGATGTCATGTTGTCACCTCAAACTCATCATCTCATGTCACTTCAAACCAGTTCTGTTCTAGCTTCCCTACTTCTGTCATTGATACCACAATGCTCAGCCCACAGACTTGAAACTTGGTTCACAAATTGTGCTTTTTCTGCTTTGTTGTCATAGCTAGTCATTCACCACGTTGGATGGATTCTTCTTATGTCTGTCATGTTTTTATCTCTTACTGCTCTTTATTAGTATTCCACTTTGCTTAAGCTAATCCACTACTTTCCTCCAGGTGCGCCTTGGGAATTTCTTGCTATTCAACTTGCTCACTCATTCTCTCCATATAAAAATACCTTCCTGCCTTTCACCTTACTTATGAAAATCATTTTCAAATTTCATGACCTAATCAAATGATCTCTTCTCCTCTGTGAAGTTTCCCCCTGCATCAGCACTCAAAGTGGCATTTTTCCTTCAGTTTTTATAACCTTTGCCTGTGCTAAGGTGTCTCATGCATATTAAAGGTTATCATGTATTTATCTGTTGTGATTGTTTTAGTGTCCATCTAGGACATGACATGCTTAATGTGGTATTTTTCACATTATAGGTAGAGCAACAAATATGTGCTAATGATGAACAAATACAATGACCCAACTTATTCACTAGGAGCACAAGATGTTTGAATATAAATTTCAGATTATTTCTGTTTTAAGCAGAGGCTAAATCTGAGTCAATTTAGAGGTTTATGGATACGTTAATACAATTTACATCAATTAAGGATCTACCTTTTTTGAGGGTCACCTCCAGTTTTCAGGGAGCTTACGGAGGGCCTTGAATGGAACGGTATATGGAGGCAGACCACCTCTGATCGTCCTCTGCTGAATGTGGGTGCTGGAATCCACGGGGTGTCTGCAGTCCTGCCAGTCCACGACCATCAGTCCTATAATGCTTTACTGCCTGCTTCTTTCTTCCTTTGCACAGCATGACCTCATTGCTCTAGGTCAGTACTCCTGAACCTCTATAGCACGCACTGGAAACTGTGTTACTTACATGCTAGGAGCAGGCAGACTTGGAACCTGCTCATCTCAGAACCATTGGCTTAGAGCCTCTACACCTTCTCTCCTCTTCGGTTCGTGCCTCCCTTGCCATAGGAACTCCACAAGAGTGCATATTTGTGATTTTGCCTACTCTCTAAAGTTCAGTTGTGACCTCCAAGTCAGTCTTGAAATTGTCTCTCATCTAGAGTCATTTAGCCAACTTTTCCTCCATCTTGCAATGCATTTAAAAATATTTATCTGCAAAGCTAAAAACGACCCATCCACAGCACACCTTTTGCATTCAGGTCTAACGCTGTCCACCCTGTATTTTTGAGAATTCAGTTCATTTAAAAAGACTCCTCTTCTCTGGCCCCACTGATGCACTGCCCTGGGGTCTCAGCTACCTTCTTGACCCTCAGGTGAGAAAACCTATATACCACTAATGTGCATCTGTGGAAAGCTTATTGCTTTCCCAAACATCTATTTTCCAGCCTCTGCCTCATTTATTCTGTCTTCCACTCTCACAAGCTCTGAGGTAGCCCTGTCTTTTTAAACCAA